GGAAAATGTCTCTAGGGAATGTCAGAGATCTTCCCAGCAGACCCTCACATCATAGACGTGGAGGCCTAGGAGGAAAAAATGGTTTCATGGCAGGGCTGGCCCAGAGCTCCACTGCTCTGTGCAGTCTTGGGACTTGGTGCCTGCATCCCAGCTTCTCCAGGTCCAGCTGTGGCTGTAAGGAGCCAAGGTGCAGCTCAGGCTGTGGCTTCAGAGGGCACAAGCCCAAGCCTTGGACACTTCCACATGGTGTTGGGCCTACAGGTGCATAGAAGACAATAGTTGAGATCTGAGAGCCTCCACCTAGATTTTAGAAGAGGTATGGAAACACCTGGATGTCCAGGCAGACATATGCTGCAGGGGCAGAGCCCTAATGGAGAACCTCTACTAGGGCAATGCAAAGGGGAAATGTGGGGTTGGAACCCCTGCACAGAGACAAACTTGGCCACTGCCTAGTAGAGCTGAGAGAAGAGCATCACCATCCTTCAGACCCCAGAATGGTTGATCCACTGACAGCTTGCACTGTGCACCTGGAAAAGCCACAGGCACTCAATGCCAGCTCATGAAATCACCCAGAAACACTGTGCCCTACAGAACTACAGGGGCAGAGCTACACAGAGCTTTAAGATTAAATGAGTGCTCTCCTAGGTTTCAGGCTTACATAGGGCTTGTGGCCTCTTTGTTTTGTCCAATTTCTCCTATTTGGAAACACTAAATGTCTGTATTTCCATTGTATATTGGAAGTAACTAACTTGTTTTAAATTTTGCAGGCTCATAGACAGATGGGACTTGCCTTGTCTCAGATGAGACTTTGGACTTAGACTTTTGAGTTCATGCTAGAATGAGTTAAGTCTTTTGGGGGCTATTAGAAGGCATGATAGGTTTTGAAATGTAAAAAAGACATGGGATTTGGGGAGATGCAGGGGTGAAATGATATGGCTTGGCTCTGTGTCCCCACCCAAATCTCATCTCAAATTGTAACCTCCATGTATCAGAGGAGGGACCTTGTGAGAGTTGATTGGATCATGGGGGTGGTTCCTTCATGCTGTTCTGGTGACAGTGAATTCTCATGAAATCTGATGGTTTAAAAGTGTTTGGCAGTTCCTTCCCTGCACTCTCTCTCTCTTGCCACTATGAGAAGACATGCCTTACTTCCTCTTCACCTCCTACCATGATCGCAAGTTTCCTGAGGCCTCCCCAGCTATACAGAACTGTGAGTCAATTAAAACTCTTTTGTTTTAAATTACCCAGTCTCAGTTTGTTCTTTGTAGCAGTGTGAAAATGGACTAAGGACTAATACAGTATCTTTAGCTGGCAAGTTTTTCTTCCAGTACTTTGAATATATTATCCCAGTCTCTTCTGGCCTGTAACGCTTCTGCTGAGAAATTCACTGTAAGTTTGATGGAGTTTTCTATATAAGTGACTAGACACTTTTCTCTTGCAGTTTTTAGAATTCTATCTTTATCTTTGACTTTTGACTTTTGATAGCTTGACTATAATGTACTATGGAGAAGATATAATTACATTGTATCTGTTTGAGGATCTCTGATATTCCTGAATGTCTATGTGAATGTCTAAATCTTTTGCTAGATTTGAGTATTTTTAAAATACTACTTTGTTAAATAGGCTTTCTAAGTCTTTTATTTTTTGGGACACTGAGAATTGAAACATTTGGTTGTTTTACGGTGTCCCATATGTCATATAGGCTTTGTTCATTACCATTTAGTCTTTTATTTAATTTAGTGTCTGAGTTATTTCAATATACCTGTCTTCATATCCTAAAATTATTTCTTTTGCTTGATCTAGTTCATTCCTGAAACTTTTATATGTATTCTGTATTTCACTTAATAAAATTTTTAGTTCCAGAATTTGTTTGGTTCTTTTTATGACATATGTGCTCCTTAAATTGTTTTTCTGATTTACTGGTGTTGTTTTTCTATTTTCTTTTGTGTTTTATTGAGCTTCTTCAATATCATTATTTTGAATTATTTATTTGAGATTTCATATTTTTTTAATTGGAATGAGTTACTGGAGAATCTTTTTTTTGTGTCACATTTCTTTGTCTTTTCATATTTCTGATTTCCTTATGTTGATATCTGCATATGTGGTGTAACAGCTGTTTTGAATCTGCTTTTGTGGGATAGGTCTTGTTTCTGAAAAGGTATCTATCATGTGGGTTGGGTAGGGCACTTTGGCTGTGATTTTGGGTGCATTCAGTAGTATAGACATTATTTTATATGCTTTATTCAGCTGTAAAGAACACTGGTGGTGTCTGTGGTTTCCTCGGTGGCTTAGGATGGTACTTTTAGTAGAAACTGTGTTGAAGTTTTGCTGGAGATGGAGATGACAGTCGGTCCTGTACTTGGGCCCCAGTATGGTAGTGGTGAGCCATGTGTGCCTGTGTTAGGGCACCATGGCAGTGTATACATGCACTGGTGTTAATGGGTTTAGAGGGATTTATATATGAACCTCTGGGCAATTTGCTCAGGTGGCTGAAGAGTGGCAGATGGGCTGGGTAAGTTAGTGGGTTTCTGGGTCCCTGGGCAGTGGATCTGCAATGGGTAATGACTATAGCAGTGATACCATTAACTTCTGGGTTCCTATGGTCTGTGCTGGTGTTGCCAGTGGCTGCAATGTACTGAGTGGGTCAGTCATCAGGCTCATAGGTGATACATTTTAGTGGGTGCCTCCTGTGGTGGTAGCAGCTGGTTTGGTGGTTTCTACAGGTCCCTAGGAAGAGTGTTTAGGTGCCAGCTGTAAAGGGCGTGGTTGGGTGGTTCCAATGCCCCCATATAGCGTGTTGGGTAGCAGACAATGCTTGGCCAAATGAACCTGTCTTCAAGCCTCCTGTTGGTGCTGGCAGGTACTGGCTGTGGAAGCAGGAGCAGGACATTCTCCAGGCCCAAGGAAGAATGCTTAGGTGGGAGCACTAGCGGCCACACAGCAACCTTGCCACTGGGGAGGGTGGGGTAGCCTTCAATGGCAGCAGCTGTATGCAGGTAACTGAAGAACAGTCACTCTGTTTGTGCTTCAGCCCCAGCAGTGGCAGCTTGCTGTTGCTGCTGCTGTGGGTGGAGAACTCTGTCCTTAGGGTGCTTGAAAATATTCAGTGGCTTTGCTGCTGGGGGCAGCAGGGTCTTTGCTAATGGTTCACACTTTAGTCCTTGGGGTGGCAGGCAGCCGTAGCAGTGGCTGTGGGCTGGGAATGTTTACTGGGCTCCAGGGATGTGGAGATGAGGAGGCTGCTGGGCTTCTAGGCAGGATGTAGTCTGGTGAAGGGTGGACTCTCAATATGGCACCTTGCTGTAGTTGTTTAATGATCAGGAAGTATATGGGACCATGTGTGAGCTTCTTCTTTGAATTAATGTTTTCGTGCAATTTACAGGCAGCTCCCTATATCAGTTCTGAATCCCATGAGAGGCTAAAGGCTTTCCTGTGGCTCTGATGATTGCTGAGGGTCACTCACTGAACACTTACCTGCATTAAGGCATTTATCCAGGATATCAGCTTATCCTGGCTGAGCAGGCTGCCTAGCTTTCCACTCTTTACTTACTTTAGTGTTTCCTGTTACTTCCCTGTAGAATTCCAGTCTCTCTTAGATGATATATTGAAGTGTGATTATCTACTTACTATTTTGTTTCTTTTCATTGTGGGAAAGCCCAGTACCAGGTGCCACTAGTCAGGCATCTTGAAGCCTCTCCTCTCTCCTTCAATATTATGTTGGCTAGGCTGGGTCTTTTGCCTTTTCATATAAACTTTAGAATCAGTTTGTCAGTACCCACCAAATAACCTGCTGGGATGTTAATTGGGATTGCACTAAATCTATAAACCAAGTTGGGAAGAACTTCCATCTTGATAACATTGAATCTTCCTATCCATGATAAACATGGAAGAGTCCCTTATGTTTTTGCTAGATTTCTTTCATCAGAATTTTGTAATTTTCTTCATATAGACTTTGTACATATTTTGTTTGATTTTTAGCTAAGTATTTTATATTTTGTCATGCTAATGTACATGGTAGTATGTTTTTAAATTTTAAATTTCAATTGTTCAATGCTCTTATAGAGAAAAATGATTGACTTTTGCATACTAATCTAGTATTATAAAACCTTGCTATAACGGTTGATTAGTTAAGTTTTTTGTTGATTTCTTCTGAATTTTTATGTAGAAAATCATGTCATCTGTGCAAAAAGTTATGTTTCTTCCTCCTCAATCTGTATACTTTTTAGTTTATTTTCTTGTCTTATTGCTTTATTTAGAATTTCTGGGACAATGTTGAAAAGGAATAATTGGGGGAACATCATTATCTGCACCTAATCTTAGTGGGAAAGCATCAAATTTCTCACCATTAAGCATGGTGTTGGCTGTAGGTTTTTTGTAGATACTTTTTATCAGGTTGAGAAAGTTCCCCTCTATTTTTAGTTTACTGTGTTTTTATTTTTAAATGAGTTGAATTTCGTCAAATCCTTCTTCTGCATCCATTGAAATGAGCGTACAGTTTTTCTTCTTTAGCTATTGATATGTTTTACATTAATTGATCTTTGAATGTTGAACCATCCTTGTATACCTGGGAAAAATTCCACTGAGTTGTGGTGTATAATTCTTTTTATGCATGCTTGGATTCAATTTGCTAATATTTTGTTGAGGATTTTTGCATCTATGTTCATGAGAGATATTGGTATATAGTTTTCTCTTCTTGTAATGTTGATCTGGTTTTGGTAACTCACAAAGAGAAAGTATTCCATCTGCTTCTGTCCTCTGAAGGAGATTACAAAGAATTGGTATAATTTTTTCCTTAAATGTTTGGTAGCATTCACCAAGGAACACATCTGGGCCTATGGCTTTCTATTTTGGGAGACTATTAATTGTTGATTTAATTTCTTCTATAGATGTAAGCCTATTCAGATTATCTATTTCTTGTGTAAATTTTAAAAGTTTGCATACTACAAAGTTAGTTTATTTCATCTAGGTTATCAAATGTGGGGGACTAAATTTTTTTTTTTTCAGATAAACAGTTTTTTTAATTCCTCCTCCTCCTCCTCCTCCTCCTCCTCCTCCTCCTCCTCTTCCTCCTCCTCTTCTTCATCTTCCTCTTCTACTTTTTTCCAGGCAACTTTAGCGGGACACTTTGCACCATCAAACTTTCCTTTCGACTTATAGTCAGCAACATCCTTCTCATACTTCTCCTTCAGCTTTGCCACCTTAGTGATGTAAGGCTGCTTTTCGCTGTCATTTAGGTTATTCCACATCTCACCCAGCTTTTTTGCCACGTCTCCAATAGAGATGCCAGGGTTTCTGGATTTGATCTTGGGGCGGAATTCTGAGCAGAACAGGAAGAAGCCAGACGGTGGCTTTTTGGGGGCATTAGGATCCTTCCTCTTCTTGCCTCCCTTAGCTGGTCCATAATCCTTCATTTCCCGATCATAGCGCACTTTATCCGCCTTTGCCATTCCTTTATTATTTTAATGTCCATGGGGTATTCAGTGTTATCAGCTCTTGCATTTCTGATGTTACTAATTTGTAACCTTTCTTTTTCTTTCTTGGTTAGTTCTGTCTAGAGACATATATTTTATTAATATTTTCAGTTTTTAGTTTTGTTTATTTTAGTCACTAATTTCCTGTTTTCAATTTCATTGATTTCTGCTCTAATACCTATTATTTGTTTTATTGTGGTTACTTTGGATTTCATTTGTTCTTCTTTCCTAATTTCTTAAGGTGGAAACTTTAAATAATTGATTTTAAATCTTTTAAAATATTTTCTAATATAGACATTTAATGCAATACATTTTTCTCTAAGCACTGACTTTCGTTCATTTTGATATGTTGTGCTTTCATTTATGTTTAATCCAAAATTTTTAAAACTTCACTTGAGATTTTTTTCTTGAATCAAATGTTATGTAGAAGTGTCTTGTTTACATGCTAGCTTTGGCAGCACATATATTAACATTGGAAGTGTCTTGTTTAATCTCCATGCATTTTGGAATTTCCAGTTATCCTTCTGTTACTAATTTCTAATTAAATTCCATTGTTGCCTGAGTGCAGACATTGTTGATTTTTATTATATTAAGTTTGTTAAAGTGTGTTTTATAGCCCAAAATGAGGTCCATACTGGTAAATGTGAGCTTGAGAAGAATATGTATTCTGATGTTCTTAGATGAAATAATGTATACGTGTATTAGTTTATTCTCACACTGCTATAAGGACATACCTGAGACTGGGTAATCTATAGAGGAAAGAGGTTTAATTGACTCACAATTCAGCATGGCTAGGAATGCCTCAGGAAACTTGCAATCATGGCAAAAAGAGAAGGAAACACATCCTTCACAGAGCAGCAGGAAGGAGAAGAATGAGAACTGAGCAAAAGGGAAGCAAGTCCCTTATAAAACTCTAAGATTTCATGAGAACTTACTATCACGAAAATAGCCTGGGGGAAACCACCCACATGATTCAGTCACCTCCCACTGGGCCCCTCCCATGACACATGGTTATTATGGGAACTACAATTCAATATGAGATTTGAGTGGGGACGAAGCCAAACCATGTCATTCCACACCAGGCTCCTCCCATACCTCATGTCCTCACATTTCAAAACACAATCATGCCCTTCCAACAGTGTCTATTTTCTCATATTTTTGTCTTCTAGTCTTTTTCTGATTGTAATTTAGCACTTTATATGATTAATTTTTCTGTTCTTTCTTAATGTATTAGTTATAACTTATTTTTTACTTCCTTACTTGTTGGGCTAAGGTTTGCAATATACATTTATAACTAATCCAAGTCCCCTTTCAAATAACATTATTCTACTTTATAGATAGTATAACTTATAATAATAAAATAATTTTAATTTCTCTTTCTTATCCTTGGTATCATTACTTTCATTCATTTTAGTTATATTGATGCATACATAAGTGTGTGTTTATAGATATATGTATATATACATAAATTGATCTAACATAATAGCTTATACAAAATAATGGCACAAATGTATTCAGTTGCATATGCATGAGAATTTATACAAAATAAAGGCACAAATGTATTCAATAAACATATGCAATTGAATACCTTTGTGCCATTATTTTGTGTAAGCTATTATGTTAGATCAATTAAGGATAAGAAATAGAAGTTTTTATTTAACCTCCACTTCTTCTTTCTTTAATGCTTTCTTAAAATAATCAACCTGTGTTTCTGACATATTTTTTTCCTTCTCTCTAAAGAACTTCTGTTAAATTTCTTGCAAGGCATTTCTACTGGCAACAATTTCCTGAATTGTCATTTGTCTAATAAGGTATTTCTTTTTTCTTAACATTTGCAGGAGAACTTCTCATGGTATAGAATTCTAGGTTGGTTTTTTTTTTTTTTTTTTTACATTTTTTTTTTTTTTTTTTTTTTTTTTTTTTTTTTTTTTTTTTTCTTAACACTTTAAGTATTTTACTTCACTCTTCTTGCTTGCATGGTTTCTGAGTAGAAGTTGAATATGATTCTTATCTTTTTTCCTTGTTAGAGAAGATGTTTTCTTACCTCTGGCTTCTTTTGGAATTTTTTATTTATCCTTGATTTTCTGTAGTTTGAAAATGTTAGAAGACTGTTTTCTCAGTTGTGCCTAGTCTACTGATGAGCCTATCAAAGACATTTTTAATTTCTTCTATAGTACTATTATTTCTAGTATTTATTTTTCTTCTTAAAATTTTAGTCTTTCTGCTTAAATTGTCCTTCTCTTCTGTTTACTTTAACTATTAGAGCCTTTAACATATTAATCACAATTATTTTAAATTCCCATTCTGGCATATGGTTTTGTTGTTGTTAACCTGCTTGGTGTTCTCTGAGCTTCCTGGATTTGTGGGATGGCATCTGATATTAATTTGGAAGAAACTGTCATTATTGTTTCAAATATTTCTTCTGTTTCTTTCTTTTCCTTTTGATAGTTTCATTTTATGTGTATTATGCCTTTTGTAGTTATCCCACAGTCTGTAGGACTTCTGTTTTTTGTTTTGTTTTGTTTTCCTTTACTGTTTGTTCTCTGCTTTTCAGTTTTGGAGGTTTCTATTAAAATATCCTCAAGATTAGAGATTGTTTCCTCAGCTGTGCTTAGTCTAATAATTAGCCAATCAAAGCCATTTTTAAAGTTTCTGTTATAGTACTTTTATTTCTAGTATTCCATCAGTTTTTTTCTTAACATTTACACCTTTCTGCCTATATTGCCCATCTCTTCTGTTTAACCATTAGTGTCTTTAGTATACTAATCACAATTATTTTAAATTCTCATTCTGATAATTACTACATCCCTGCCATGTCTGGTTCTGCTGCTTGTTCTCTTCAAATTGTGAGTTTTATTTTTTGGTATAATAATCACTCAGGAAGTGCTAGGTAAAATAAATTGCTGTAAAGAGGTCTTTAGTAATGTGATAGTGAGGTTTAGGGGAGGAGAAGCATTCACTAGTCCTGTGATTAGGTCTCAAATTTTAGAGAGCCTATTCCTCTGGACTGTAGACTTCATAAGTGTTTCTCAATTTTTTCTTTCTCCTTAGAGTAGGCTGTAGTTGGGTATCGTCCTTCTTTCATGTCGAAGAGTAGAGCTTAGTGAAGTTGGATATATTTCCCTTTCCTAGGGCAGCTGGACTCTTACAATGCCTTGATAGGTTATTCTCTGTTTAAGGAGTTTTTACTAGGAGCAGGCCTTGTTAAACAGAGTACTTCTGTGTATTTTAAAAATGGTTCTTTTTCTTCTCTCCTTTTCTGAAGTAAGAGGGAATTTTTCTTTAATATTTTCTATGAGAACCTGATTGAACTCTTGGAATTAAATACTGGTTTTACCATCTTTGCAACAGATTTATAGTCCTTTATATTTTCTTAAGGTATTGGTAGTTATTTGTTGGTCATGCTGCTGCAAATATTTTTCTTCCCTTACTTCCTGACTTATCTTTTCACTTTTTAAGTAATGTCATTTGATAGTAGTTTTAATTTTAGTTAGTTCAATTTAACAATATTTTTCTATAGTTAGTGCTTTGGCATCACGTTATGAACTTCACCTGTACCACAAAGTCATGAAGATATTCTCTTACATTCTTTTTAAACATATAGTTTTGTCTTATTGATTTAGACTTTTAATTCATTTGTCACTGACTTTGTGTGTAATATAAGAAAAATTTGAATTAAAATTATTTTTTACCTATGGGTAACTAAGTGTCTTGAGGCCATTTATTAAAAGATGTGCCTTTTAGTAAAAAGACTAGAGGTTTCCAGTATTTGGGTGCAGGAAACAGGGAAGGATGATAGGTAGAGTACAAGGCAATAAAACTGTTCAGAATGATATGGTAATGATGAACACATATCACTATATATTTGTCAAAACTTACAGAATGTACAACACAAAAAATGTAATCCTGATATAAACTTTAGACTTTGGTTAACAATAATCTATCAACGTTAGCTCAACATTGTAAGAAATGTTATAATTGCAAGATGTAAATAATGGAGGAAACCACAGATTGTATGAAATAGCATGCAGGAATTCCGTATTTTCTGCTCAATTTTTCTGTAAACCTAAAACTGCTAAAAAAAAAAAAAACCCTATTAAATTTAAAAAATTCTGTTGTCCCTCATTCTCTGAAGTGCCCCTTTTGTTATAAATAATATGTGCAAGGTGCTGTTTCTGGATATCTATTCTGTTCCATTAAACTTTTTGTCCATGTTTTGTTAATAAATATTGTCTTGATTATTTTGCTGTATGGTAATTCAAAATTTTCTACCTTTGTCTTTATTTTGAAATGTTAGTTTAGTCTTTTGCATTCACCTACATATTTTTAGAAACAGCTTTTGAAATTACACATACATACCCATACATAAAATGATTGGTGTTTGCATTAAGATTGCATTGAATTTATAAAATGATTTGGAGAAAATTTATATCTTTAAAATACTGAGTATTCCTTTCCATAAACAAATTATCTCTCTCCATTTATTTAATTATATTTTAATATTTTTCAATAAGAAAAATTTTATAATTTACTCTGTAAAAGTCTCGTATATCTTTTGTCAGGTTTATTCTAAGCACTTTATATTTGTAGATACGTTTACAAATGGTATCATTTTAAAGGTTTTATTTTCTTTTTGATTTTGTTGTATGAAATAGTTTATTTTTTATTTTGATATTTTAATTCTGGAACTTGAATCAACTCTATTACTAATGTCTTTGGATTTTCTGCACACATCATCATATTATCTGTTAATAATAGCAGTTTTGTTTTCTTTCTTTCCAATTTTTTTTTTTTTAATTTGTATTGTATGGTGCTCATTTGGCCTTCCAATGCAATGTTGGATAGAAGTGTTGACAACATAAATTCTTTTCTCATTTCTCATCTCAAAGAAAAAGAATCAAAATTTTTAATACTAATTATAATGCTTCTTGTAGGATTTTAAATATTTTTTGCAGATTCCATTTATGAGATTAAGGA